CCTAAGTAAGTAACAGCTGCCAAGCTGGTAAACATGTCACTTTTGCACATCGAGCAGTTTGCTAAAAAAAACAAAAAGTCGGTAGTTAAAGGACTTTTCCTCCAAACTCACCATTTGTTATTATTGCACTGGTTGCTGATGGCACTTTAAACTGTGAAAGAAAATGAAGCAGAGAAAAATGATCACACTCAAATCACCATTAGTGAAATTCAAAACTGAACCATTTGACATTTCAGAACTTCCAGCAGCGCTATAATATTTTGGTTAAATAATCAGGGACATGTGGCAACCCAATTCCACTTGGCCTGAAGACATCGTGTGAATAAATCATCAAGAAAGCAAGCTTCATCCACTGAGTCAGTGAGCGCACTGAGATTCACTGACTGTCGGGTGTCAGCTTCAAAATAGGAGCTGAAGTTCCGAAAAAAAAAGAAAAGAAAATGCTATGTAATGTGTTTTGTTTTCAGTCTTTTGTCTGCCAACTTTCATGCTTGACACACATGGGTTTGTGTTTTCACACTAATTCAGACTTGCACGCCTGCACATGCACACACACACACACACACACACGCGCGCGCTGATAGAGACAGTTAGAAGAGAGCCTGAGGGAAAGATAGCCACGCTTGAATTTCTGGAAGAAAATCACTCAGCATGGTCACAATACATGTCCTACTTCAGGGTTCTACAGAGGAGGATGTGGGCTGCGGAGATTTGCAGTGAAAGGGCGGAGGGGAGCAGTCTGTCACCAGGGAGATAAGGTTAGCAAAGTGCTGCTCACCAAAATACTGCCAGGTATCACAATCAAGCACGCATGAAATACAGTTTAGTTCAGGAATGAATGATCTTTGTTTCATGTAGCATAAAATTGGTGGATAAAATATTGTTTACAAAAGGATTATGGTAAAAACCTGACTTCCACCACATCACAGAGTTTAACTGTTATAAATTTATCTTGTGATTTTTCTCTGTTTAACACAGCCACCTAGCTTCATTAGCCACACTACTAATGATCACTGAAAGTGAGGCTTAAAATACATTCCCTGCTAATTACAGTGAAAAACTGGCACTGGCTAATCACACATTTTGGCATGTGAGCCTTTGACAAAAAACAAAATTTTTTTCCCAGATTGATTCTGTGTAAAACAGTCTACTTTCAAACAGTTTTCCCTTTTAAATAAATGATCAGCATTGTCCAACTCTTAGGGCTATCTCTGTTGACTTGATGGAGCAACCATGAATATACCATGTAAAGTCAGATGTGGATAATTGTGGACGGTTAGTATGGTGGTTTGTAATAGCAAAGCAAATTAATATCCTAGTATCTACACACTACAAACGCAGCACATTAGCACCTCCAGTCCTCCATCATTATGCTCCCAGTCGCAGTATCGCTGGGTGTTTGTGTGCAGAAAAAAACTTAAAGCCTAAAAAGAGACTTTGGATCGAGGTCATCTAAAGTAAAGTGTGCATGAGACATGAGGCATTACATGGCCTGTATTGATTAAAATATATGGATCCATATGGATCCTGTGTCTATAAAACTTAAAACCATTAATACAGATTTAATTAGTAAACTTTGTTGGCCATATTGAGATAACAGCCCGACCGATACTATAGTTTGTACAATATCTATAATATATAATTAATCTTGTGTAGTATGCATATATGTGCATGTACATGTTAGTACAATACGTAAAATATCTTTTAGTATTTCTTTGTATAGCTCCTGCAGAGAGAAAGATATATTCATTTTTTACCTTATCCGAAAGGTTTTACCTTTTAAGCGACACATTTTGAGTCTTGTTGTGAAAGAATGTCAATGTTAATTATTTTTTTTAAAATCAGTGCTTAATAATAAATAATAAATGAAATACACTTTCTTTTTTTTATTACAAAAAATAAATGAAAAAATTGAACCAAGATATGCACTAAGCAGGTTGCTCTCTGGGGCACAATGGTGACGCTGTTTATAAATCATCTCAAACATATTTACACATATACCATATATCCATATGTATTTACAGGACTTTGAGGCTAAATGCACATACTTAAAAGTATGTAGTGACTACATATTTATAGTAGAGCACAAATAGTAAACTTACCTCCTCAGCTGCAAACTTCAAAACTGCTGTGAATGGTGTGCTCTCTGGGACACTTAGTCTGTAACAAAACAGAAAAGTGTTTTAAAAACACCATAAAGGCCAGCCTTTACTTTATTCCCTATTTGGTATTTATACTTTTTAAAGCAGGAATGCCACATGATTAAATATCATCTCTCAACCCATTGACCTGAGCTTCGATCAACACCTGGGCTGATTTAGTGCCGTAAAACAAGTCCCTTATGGTTTCACAGTAAGGAGAGCAATTCTGTAGCTGCTCATTTTGACTTCCACGGAGAAGAGAACAAAAGGAACATTTCCTTACAGAGCTCAATCGAGTGTAACATTACATCTGCTTGAGTCATTTCTGTCTGAAGATATGAGACCTTTTATGGCATAAATATAGTTACACACTTCCAGTTGGGTGCTGCTTTAATGGTTCATTTTCAGCAAAAGGGTGGAGACCCTCCCCTTCAAGGGTTATACCAAAAAATATTTTGCTGAGATGTGAGATAAATAAAATAAATGAATAAAAGATGTAAGCGCCAAGTAAGGTGGTGGTGGAGGGAAAAATCAATTCACACCATCAGTACAGCAGCAAGTAGCCGAGAGAAGAGCTTCCAGCATTATGAGCGAGAGTGAAAGTTGGAACTTGTTTAAATGTCAGTGGCGATTATAAGCTGAAAAGACTGGTGGTGTGCTTAAGTTCAGTCCTCTGCCAGAATGAATGGATGCCTCATTTACTGTCATTATTATCTCTCTATTCGTGTTAAGACATTAACAACTGCAGCGAGACCTTGTCTGACCTCATTAGAGAATTGACTCCCTGTCAACACGTTAAGGCTAGGAAAGTCTGCATGGCCTCAATATTTTGCTAAGTTATTTGCAATTGCTCAAATCAAAATTCAACGTGAATCTCTGTTAGGAAAGTTGACCATGTGGCAGAAAATGCCTGTGGAACAAAAAGACACACAAATGTTCAGTTGACATTTTGTGTCTGATTTTATTTATGTTGTCAATATGTGTTTGTGTTCTGCAACAATATGGCTCATTCCAGCTAACGTATTTAAAATGCCCAGGACAAAGATAGATATGAAACAGATCCAAAACATGTTAATCCAAACATCCTGCACAATAACTCGGTTTATAACTGTGATTTAGCATCATGTAGTTTGCTAATGTTTTTGTGCTTTTGAACAATCATACTCCTCTACAGTAATATAGTGGCTCATTTCAAGGTTTCAGTGCAAAAAGGAAACCTAAAAATAAATTTAAAAAAATATCTATATCATGATGTGTCTGGCTTGTTTTCAGAGCTAAAAACACAACATTAAATCCTTCTTGAATCACACACACACAGTGTAAAACACTAACAGAACTTGTCTTCAAAAGTCCACATTTGGAATTAGTTCATTCACTAATGCATCCTTCACCAGAAACACAATAGAAAGCAGTGGCAGAAAAATTAAAGTCACAGCTGCTTTAAGAAAAGCCTGCATGGTAAACCATACATTGGCTCCTGAAGATCAAGAAGGAATTCTGCCAATAAGCAAGCTGCCAGTTCACACCTAATTTGCCAGATGTCCTCATAATGCACAAAGGTTGAAACTTAAAAGAGGTTTCACTAAGATCATATAAAAACTAAGTAGTAAAGTAAATAATTTTACTACTTCTCAGTAAAATTACTTTAATTAAATTTAAACCAAAATTTTAATTTTATTTTTTACCGTAACTGAACAAAATCCCCAATCCATTCAAACATGTGCTGTTTGACCATTATGATCTATGTGCTGAGTTTGACACGAAAAGGCAGTTTTCTAATTGATCCGCTCCACAGGGATTTTCTGTGCTCACTTTAAATCTGAGATTAAGACATGTATGTACGAACGCGGTTTTGTAATGCCACAACTAGTTTGGAAGCCAACTGCGGTCCATTATGAAACATACACAAGTGTGACGTGGAAACTTGCTGCCTCCCAAAGCACAAACACTGACAATGGACACAAAGAAGAAGGAGACATCTTGTGTCCAACAATTTAAACTCTTGAGATCAATAATATTTTCATATTCATGATGCAGGATTTTTCAATGAGGAAGGAGCAGACGTACTTTTAATTGGGTTTTTATGGGTGGAAAAAACATATATTTGACACAAATGATGTATTAATGACAAAAGCATTTGTGTACGTCTTAAAACATGCCTGTGCTTTAGTGTGACACACACAGCAGACATGGATTATATAGTGCACACAATGGCAAACTATTGCAGTCTGTGTTTTTACCATCAGTCTGATGGCACCAAATGAATGACACTGGAATAACTTGTTACTTTAACAAGAAAAGTATTACTGCTCCCAGCTTGTCCAAGAGTAACTCTACACGGTCCACTGTCCATTTAGCCATGTCTGTGAACATGTCTGTGAA